AAGAGCCAGGGTCAGGAAATCATTGCCTGCCCTTCCTGACAGGCTCAGATGACCTGTTTCTTATCATGTTAATTTTTTGCCACTGTTGTTTTGTTGTTCTCCAGACAGATGTTTTACCTTTATTCCTTAATTCCTGGATAGGGGCTTTTAAGCATGTTCCTTCTGTCTCCTGTTCCTGCTGTGGGCAGCTCCCACAAGGGCAGCCAGGTGCTGCTCCCAGTTGTGTCCATGCTAAACACCTTGCTGAACTGGGATCTGAAAAGCTGATGTGGCCCTCTTGGCTATCAGGTAGCTCTTGCTTCTTCATTAATTTTTCAGTACAATTCTCAGTGACTTGGAAATTTGACTCCTGCAGGACTTCTGCCTGCACATCATGCAGAGTGCACACAATCTTACGATGCATTTTATTAACAGGTGTATTATCAATGTACCCTTGTTACAGTATCCTCTGCATTTCCTTGGCTTTCTTATCACTGTTCTGAAACTTGTTCCTCCTATTCTGCATCCCTCCTGTGGCTGTAAACCATTTTTCATTGGAAAGTTGAAATTGTTACCTGGCCAAATCTGCAGTGCTGTCCCATCAGGGGAAAAATATCTTTCCTGATCCTTGCTGTTGATCAGCTTGTGTCCTGAAGCATGATTATTGCTCACTCTTGTTATTTTTAAACCTGACTAATGCAGCTACATATGCTATTCTTCCTTATATAAACACATAATCCTTTTTTAATCTTGCTGAAAAAAATTGTCTGTATAATATCTTGTGGTGGTGAATTGGATGGGCTCATTTATAGATAGCATTGGGAAAGATCTCCTGACAATCAGTGAAACGTGCTGCCTCTCATGTTAAATTGCCCTTTGGTTTTCTTATGTAACAGAGTGCATGAGGAGCTTAGGTAATTTCCATTTGTTTTATGCATCTATAATCCTATCTTGCCTTTGTTCCTAAAATAAATAGTTGGTCTTTAAAACATATCATTTGTAAATCCCCCTCTTGTCTCCCTTTAATCAGTTTATACTTCTGGAGTTCTGTTTTGTTCTAGCTTTCTTGCTGAGATGAGAAAATCAGAAGAGTGATGCATTAGTGTGAAAGCTACGGCAGATTTACATAACACCACTCTGCTTTTATTGGGCTTTATCCTCTGTTTGTACATTCAGACATGCTTTTTATTGTTTTGTGCCTGTGCACAAGGCACCTCTTCAGTGACGTAGTGCCATGTTTTTCGACGAGTAGTGGTGGAACGTGGCTGTTTTAAGTCCCTGTCTTGTTCTGTATATTACCTCCAAGGTGTATCTAGGGTTGTTTGTTTTCATCTGCTTTTCTACTGTGTGAGTGGTTGAGAGTCTTTTTAAAGGGGGTCACTGCTAATATTTTAATGTTGAGTGTTACTGGGCTCACCACCAAACTTCACCTCCTTGCTAGTTTAACTGGCCTTCTGCTGTTGTTCTGCAAGGAATAGTAAACTTCATCATTTTCCTGCTCGTTCCTGGAACATCTTTCTAGTTTGATTTTTCCCTTTTACCACCTGGCAATCATCCCCTGCTTCCTTGCCTCCCACAGCTTTACAACATTACTGACACAGGACAGTGTTTTCACTTGGCTGTGACACTATTTTTTTTCCTTGATAGCCACTTTTGAACAGCTTAAGGAATAAAATGCTTCATGTCCTTACCACACACGTTAGTGGGGAGGCAGTTCTGCTGTCTTCCACAAGACGAGTCTCATTGCTCTGTAAATGAAGCTACCCACCTGGTGTTGTTAATAATGCATTGGTGCTTCTCATCGAGAATTACAGATGTTCAAGATGTGTTGCAAGGCTCAAATGCAGTGTGTTTGTCCCCAGAAAGAACTAATGTAGGTAACAGCACTGTGTGTAAGATGGACCTTTTTTGTTGCCCATTTTACCCTTCTTTGAAACTTCCAGTAATACCATTGCAATTTATCGATGGCTGATTTGTGTTATGGTTATACAGAGTTTCATTCATTCATGGCTGAATTAACCTTTCCAAAAGCAAGCCAAGACAATCATTATTTATTATGCATGGGCTGCTCTCCCTGGAGTGAAGAATCATGTGCTTAGGGAGCAGCAGTTCAGGAGTTGAGCAGCTCGTACTTGGGCTGTCTTTGGATTTGTCAGACAGTTCCTGTGGTGCTCTGCTCAGGTTATGGACAAACAGCCAGTTGGCATCTTTGGCACAAAGTGAGCTTTTCCTAAAGCCAAAACTGCCCTCCACAACCACCACCCCTCGGTTGGTCATACTTGGGGGTGAGAGTTTCTGTGCTTTCTGTGTGCAGCTCTGAGGGGAAGTTTCCAACAGCCTGCTGAATTATCCCCTCTCCTGTGGAGATTGCTCCTTGGCATAGCAGGAGAGTCCAGTAGCTTAACTTCCAAATGAAATTAATAGAATTCTCAGTGGGATTGAATTATTTTTAGATGTTGTTATCATTGGGTTTTCTTAGGCCAGTGTTTGATGCTTTTGGATGAAATGACAAACCTGCTCTATCCTATTCCTGACTGCATGTGTGCTTGTGCGCCATCACTCTCTCCCCATCTCACTTTTCCATCCCTGTTCCCCTAAACCTGTGATTCTGAGAGCAGCTTGAACTCCATCTCATTAAGTGTGAACCTCAAATCTATCTCTTTTCAAATTTCATCCTAGCTAGCTTATCCTACCAAATATTTTGTACTTCTTTGATTAAGAACATAGTCTCATCAATTTGGGCAGTTTGGGTAATAATTTACATATTTTTGTCTGAGGGTGTTTGTTTAAGGAGTAAAATTCCCAGTGTTTTTAAAGAAGCTCCATGAAAATTCTTAAAGCTCAGACGCTCCATTACATTTAGGTATAAGAACCAAACAAGAGTCTGTTTTATGTTGAAATAAGTAGGAGAATTACCTAGACAATAAGAAAAGTAGTAAAGATATTTTTGTCTTTTAAATGGTGCAAGCTGTTTTATAAACAGTGGCAGGAATTTCTTGTCTATAGGAGTAAAAGGAAATAAAACTTTCAGTTAGGTGGTATTGTTGCAGATAGAAGTTTATTTTTCATCACTACATCTTTTTTTTATATCTGCATTTGGTATTTAAAAGCATTTTCTTTGGCAAATGAAAGTCGAAAAACTCTTTTCAGTTCTGGCATGTGTGAATTTCTCATGCTGCTCCCAGGTTGTCCATCTGTAAGTACTGGCCCTGCATGAACTGCCAGCACAGAGCAAATATTGAAAATGTTTTCAACTCTTTTGAGGATGACCAATAAGCACACCCTTTGTTTGAATACATTTTTGTCTTTAAATATGTTCGTACCTTGTTTGAGGTTTTTGTTTTGTTTTGTCTCATTTTTCTTGCTTTTGGTTTTTTCGTGTAGTCAGCTCTGGATAGCCTTGTTCAACCCCAGATTGAATATTTGTTTCACTGGGGTATAGATTATGTTCAATTAAACCAAGAGCATGCTCCATGTTAAAGCAGTACCAATTTAAAACTGTACATGTACACAAAAATGAATATTCACAGTCCTTCTGTGAGTGGGATTTGGAATTATTCAATATAGATACTTCTGGACCCCTTCTGAATTGGGCCAGCTTTGTCTTATTTGCCCTTAATGGGAAAAAGCCATGTTATTTCATGTTTGTAATCTGAGTAGACTGGGAGGTACTGGACTGAAGCCAGGGTCCACCAGATCCCTGTGACTGGGTTTGTTGCCTTTTATGCTGAGAAGTCAGAATATACAAAAGTGCCTTTGAAAGTGCTGTACATCCTCTACTTGAATTCCAGAAATGGCCCCAAGAGAAGCCCTGGAGTATCTATTGATTACAGGGTTTTTTCAAAGGCACTTTTTCAATACCAGGACCAAGAAAAGTGCAGCATCATGGGCAGAGTGTGAGTGGTACACACAGCTGAAAACACTTCTTGCCTTTTGACAGTACCTTTTCCCCCATCACATTGTATATGTTTGTGGGGTCTGGTTTTTGTGGGGTTTTTGGTTTGGTGGTGTTTTGGGGGGGTTGTTTGTTTGTAGGGGGGTTTTGCTTCTTTTATTGTTTTTTATTGGCTTTTTTCCCCCAGTATTTAGATATCAGGCCTTTTCTTTTCCTCTTTATCAGGAGAATGTAGCAGCTTTCACCCCTGAGGAGCTTCTGGCTGGCAAGCCTCAGAAACTGAAGGGCAGTCTTAAATGTAGCACTGCCTTCAGATGCAGAAAGCAGATTCCCCTTCCTTTGTTTCCTCTGTCTCCAGAGGTTTTCAATACTTGGCTAGACCAAGTCAGAATTAGGCTGACCTGGTGTTGGCAGCACACCCCCATCGAGCAGGAGATGGTCCCAGAGGCTTCCTCCAGCTAACATGGCTTTGGGCTGTGATTGTTGGGTGAACAATTGTAGTTTGGAGACAGATTATTTGAAGATTTCTTTTATTTTTAGACCCTAAGCAGATTTTTGAATTGAGCTTGCTTCTTTCCAATACTATAACTGATATATGAAGCCACTGGTGTTTGTGAAATGCTTTGAAATTTTCTATTCTGGCTAGCCAGATTATTGAAATTATGAATTATTTTAAGATTTAACATGCTATATCTAAATTAAAAAGGAAAACCTAGCTGCAGTTGTGGGCTCAACAGAAGCTTATAATATAAGACCTCTGTACTTTTAAGCTCACCAAGAATTAAAAACATGGCATGTAGAGGGAGAAGTAAGAACAAACAGTGATATTGAAGATTGTTCCTTATTAAATGGTAATTGTGGGGTTTGGATGTCTTGTATAATAGCTGAAATCCATCGAAGTGCCCCAGTAATGTGAGTAGTGCTAATTATTGCAATTGGAGGCTCTCACCTCCTGGAACTGTCACTGACAATCCAGCCCTGCCTTTCTTCATGCTCAGAGGAATCCCAGTCCAGCCCGTCCTGTGACTGGCACCAAACCTCTGTGTTTGGACTCAGTGACAGGGCATTGAGTGATTCACTGCCGTCATCAGTTTCCCCATTTCACTTTTGCAATTTCTCATTTTAGGGCTTCTTCAGTAAGCGCCTGAAAGGCTCCATCAAGAGGACAAAGAGTCAATCCAAACTGGACAGGAATATCAGTTTCCGTCTGCCCTCTCCCAGCAGTGCCGAGGACAGGTAAGGTGCTGTGTGTCCCCAGAGCTGGCACACACTCATGGCAGGAGAGCCACAAGGCCATTTATTGTCCAGCTGGCCCAAGGGGGCTAGTGGGGCTGCCTCTGGCACTTCAGTGTGCTGATACAGGATGGAAAACTGCTGCTCTTCACAGCTGCCAAAAAGCTCAGGTTAAGCACAGGGACTCCAGTACCTTTTCCTGCATCTGTTTCAAATTAGCTGCAGGCTTCCAGTGTCATGATACGAAACCATGGGATTGATCAGCTGGAGAGAAATTTGCCCTGCTGCATGCAGTGCTTGCCTGCAGGCCAATGCTGTGGTGAGATGAGGAGTTGTGCTGGTGTGAGCAGGGCGGTTCCACCAGCGCTGGCACAGCCCAGAGATGTGCAGTGCCATTCAGGCACACTGAGGACCCTTGCAGTGTAGGTGTTTTGGTTATAGCAGTGTTACCACAAGGAACACATGATCTGTTTCTCAGAAAACTGGAAAACTCGGTAATTTCTGACCATCTTAGTGCTCCATTTGGTATGTCATTGCATGTTTACCTTTTGGCTGGAGATCCAGGCTGGGAATGGATTGTATATGAGGCAAGCAAAGGCTCTTGCACACAGAGTTTCCTAACTATTTGCAACGTCTCTTGATTGTTTTTATTAAACATATTCTGTGTTACATTCCACGGTAGCCCAGCAGGAGAAGTAGATAGAGTGAAAAATAAGTTGGCCTGTACTCGAGGCCACGGCAGGCTTCTGTGCTTTGACATTGTTCAGTGCATTTTCCCTTCTCCTTTAGCTGAGCTGAATTCATGAGTTCTATCTGTCATGCTGTGCTGCTTCAATCAATGGTGCTGCCTTCTCCATCTGAAAGGCAGACCATAAAATCAGAGAGATAGCAAGGCTGTGGATGTTGGAGGTCTGTTAACATCAGGAGTTACAGAAAAGCCTGCTGTTTACCAGATGTGGCTAACCATCTAGATGGCCTTGCTCCTGTAGTCCACCCAGGCTGCTTTGAGGCAAGTTTTCCTATAAATCTCTATTTTCAGGGTGTTGCAACGTGGCTATAAAAGCAACTGAGTGAGAATAAGCATCTTAAATAATGCCACCAGGTAACCAAGTACTGTTATTTTTACTATTGTTTGAAACCAGCTTTGCTTGAATTTTTGTAATGCAAAAATTTCTTTGCCATAAATAATGTAGTTGTCTTTCTTGAGCTTGGTACTCATGCTGGATACTTGCTTTTGTAGTGTCAGGGAAGCACTGTTGTTCTGGGAAAGCTAATAAACGTAGCTATAATTATTTCCTACAATCCTTGGTTTAAGACATGATATTACACACAGCAAAGCTGCTTTCTTTTAAAAAGCAGGCCCCCTTCTACTCCCTACCAGTGTGGGCACAAATATTCAACTAGACTCAAAATGCAATGTGAATTTTCTCTGATGGCCTGAAAGCACAAAAGCATAAAATCCTAGTAATTAATTAATTAATTAATTAATTAATTGTAGCATTATTGAACATAGAGCTGACTCTAAATTCACAAGAAGGAATTGCCACTCTCTCACTTTCTCTTCACCCTCCATTCTGTATGAGCCTCTCGATCTGTAGCAGTAAGAACTTTCCTGTCCTGCCCTAGTGAGTCAGCCCTTTGCTGTTTCAAGCAGGTGATTCTAGGTGATGTCATGGTGTTACACAGGTTTTCCCGGCCAGGTTGACTGACAGCATCTCCCTTTTCTTGTTCTGACAAACACAAGGGCCCTGCCTTCAAAGAAAATATTATAAAGCTTTATAAATTAAAACCCTGCATGGATTAGAAGGAAATAGCTGCTGTCATACTGCCTTTTCATGGTTTTGGGGTATTCGGGACCTGTCAAGAAAGTGGAGATTTTATAGATAAATACCTCTAAAATTCTGGAGTAAGGAAGATTAATTATCCTGGTGCACATCAAGATTTGGGATACTGTAACATTGCATGCCATGCTGGATGGTGACAGAGGATGGATGCTGTCTGTTCAGAGTTGATTTAAAACAGAAGGGAGTCAGGAATGCTGTAGGGAGCAGGGATGGAGATGAGTTGCAGATTTTTTTGTAATCGGATTTTCTGTTTCAGCAGAAAGCAATTGGCCAGTGTACCTATTCTGGCTTTTAACTTTATTTCAGTGTGTCTGGGTTAGTGGATAGGGATGGAAGAGAGTTCTGGTTCCCCTCTAGAAACACGGATCAGTATCCAGGTGTTTTGTAGAAATAAATCCATAACCTCTCAGGCTGTAATTCACATCCCTCCTGTTACTCAGGCTCAGGCTGTTTGCTTGTGGTTTTTTGTACTTGAATACACGTATGTTGTCTTTACAAGGCACTGATGTGGCAGGACTTAGATTGTGCTCCTTTGTGAGCCAGGGCAGGTGGGAATGAGGCTCTTCAATGTGTGGTCAGTGCAGCATCTCACCAGGTTGCCAACAGCTCTCACCATGAGGCGACCTGGCACCATGTCACTGTAGCATCTTTCACAGCTTTTCCAGCCTGTTTCCTCCTGCATCCTTTGAGCTTTTCAACTCACACATTCATCTGTAATGTTTTCTCAGTGTCCATAATATATAAAACATGTTAAAAAAAGCATGAGAAAATACTTAAGGAAAATTTTGTTTAAAAGGAGAGACGAAATTAAAATTTGCAGTTTGTGGTCAGTCTCCAAGAGGACCAGCAGTTTTGTTTACGGAGAGGGAGTGAAGATGATTGGGACTGGCTGCATATGGTCTCAGTGACTGCAGCAAAGCTCTGCAGACAGCTGGGAGGGCTTTGCCCTGTTGGGATTTACTGCCACGTGGGAATCGTCCTGCTTTGCTAAAAGTCATTTCATGGCATTATGAGCCAGGCATAGCAGGGCTCGGAATGGGCTCTGGCAGGGCACAGGGAGGCAGGTAGCCATGGCTCTGGGCTTCATGGTCAAACGCTATCACTCCTCCAGCCACAGCTTCTTCTACTTTCGGTAAGTTCCTGCTGCTCCCTCCTTGCCTCTTTGCAGTGAGAAAATAGCACGGGTCGCGTAAATAATAGAAGCAAAACCTGCTGTGTTTTTCAGGTTCATTCTAATTTAATGTCGGTTTTAAAAAAAAAAAGGGTGGGGGATTATCACCCTCATTTAGCTGTCAGGATAGAAATCAGTGTTACACAACGCGTTACTAAGGCTTGACTCACTCCCAGCTTGCATTCATTCATCATATCAATTGCTATCAACACACAAGAGTGTGGGGAAAGGGGTGGAGTGGTTTGTTTCTCGGAGGGATGCCTCACTCCTGATTTGGTGAACGTATTTCTTTCAGCAGTTGTTTGTTTTTTCACTGAAAACTGAACAAGACCCCAGTGTTTGTCACAAACCTTCCCCTTAGTGCTGGGTTGCTCTCTTCCACCTGCAAGCTCACGTGACCCCATTATAAATACAAATTTCTTAAAGGCTGATGCTTCTTTGCAAAGCCCAGGCTCCTCCATGTAATATTCACCTTGAGTTTAGCAGGGAAATGAAACTGAATCAATTAAGCATTTCTGGTCCATCAAAACAAACCAATTGGAAACGTTAATAGGAGAGACCAGAGGAGAGAGGAGGACTCTCCTGCTGTGAAATTCAGCAGCCTGCTTGGCTGAACCCTGAGAAGTGTCTGTTAGACAAGCTGTGATCTGCAGGGAGAGCAGGCAGGCAGGGAAGGGCTTTGCAAATCCAGGATTCAAACAATGAAGCTTTGGGAAGGACCTTGCCAGAAAAGACCAGAATCTCAAAGGAAGACAACAACAATATACTCAGAAAAACACAGCATTTAATTGTACCTGAGTGTAGCTTGCAGATAAATAAGTTACCCTAAGTTTCTGATTTAAAAAAAATATATATGTATATAATAAAACTGGTTAGACTTGTAGAATTGTTGACCAAGTAATAGGATGTTCAGATAATTGGCAGTTGGAAAATGAAGAGGGGCGTGGTGCAAAAAAAAAGAGCGTTTGGACAGGGAAAAACGTGGTGCTGCAGCACGGGCAGAGCACGGGTGAATTGCAGGTGATGCTGGAGACGGTAGGGTCCCATTGCACAGGGCTGGGAGCTGGGATAACAGCAGAGAGTTCACTGCATTACAGTCCAAGCTCTCTCCTGGGACTTTGCAGAATGGCTAAGTATTGAGTTCAACTCTCTGCTCTCAGGGAGTGTCTCCCAGCACATTGGGATTGCTGGAATTATTTGAAGTGTGCAGACGAACAGCTTGATGTGATGCCAACTGGGACTTGGCTGTAGCTGGTGCTTGGGCTGAGTTCTTTCCTTTCACGCCAGTTTGGTAAAGGAAAGTTCATTTTAAAACTTTTTTTTTTTTTTTTTTAATCTTTTGGATTATTGATGTCCACAGGCTTGTTTTACAAGTAATACAGTGCTCTCTCGGGTAAGCTTGGTAATTGAATGTCTTTTGTGCCTTGTAGGTTGGCTTTTAAATAGGTCAAAATCAGCAGGAGAGGTTCATAACCAGAGCAATTAGGATTTTAACGCTTTATTCTACATGCTTTATAGACAGTAGAATATAATAGAACTTTGCTAATAAGCTGCTGTGCCATGGGCAGCCACTGAAAGCCAGAGGTTTCCAGTTCCCGGCTTACAACTGAGATTTTCTTGTCATGGAAAATTACTGAATCATGGTGTGCAAGGAGAGGGGTCAGCTTGGGGCTGGGCCAGCAAGATGGGGTGGTTGGAGAGTTCTTTTTCCATGACCATCGCATGCTGCTGCCAGGTCAGTGGTTTAGGGCATTGTCTGGGCTCTGATTTACAAGGAAATGATGCAGCTCTGAAGACCAGTACTCCAAAACACATGAAAAGAGGTGAGAAGTTTAAAATCTTCCCTGACATGCTTCTCCTCTGTCTGTTTTTCCTATGGGAAAGAAATTGTGGAGAATGTGTAAGAATTATTTGGTGCTTTGGTAACTGAATTCCCATGTAGTTCCTTTGCAATCTCTGTTGTTAACAAGCATAGATAGAAAAAGCAACAGGATAAAAAGTTGATCGTGGGAGGTTAGTTGTAATTTAAAACAGGATTTGTGTTGTTAATGGAGCTGTTTAACAGAAACAGATTTGTACAAACAACCCTTCCCCCACTTTTTGCATGTGTGATCTTCCTGTTTACAGTAATCTGCTTCCCTGGGATTACCTCTCTGCTGACAGAGTCTGAGCAATACTCATTTTCCCAGTAGCTTCCTACCTAATACAGGAAGGACCCTATTAATCCAGCCCCTTTGCTGGACACTGGGACATGAATTAGTGACATCTATGCCAAAAGGAAGCCAGCAAGCAATTTTCTTTCCTTGTTACAGATTCAGCATATTAGATGAGGCTTTAGAGCAGCAGAGAAGTATTATTTCTGTATAATTATTGCCTGTATTGATTGGGATGCTGCTGATACAGGCACAAGTCAAAGATTTCTTTGCAGATCTATCAGTAGATGAAATCTATACTGTGGTGCTCACAAATGCATGTACTTGTGTTTGTAAATGCATGTGGTTGCATCTAACCAACAGCTTTAGGATGTTCTGATGTTTGTGGAAGATAAAGTGTCAATTCTAAGCCATTTAATCAGTTTATTGAGCTGTTTTAAATATGGTATCTTCAAAGGATTGCTGGAACAGCCTGACATTTGTCTTCCACAGGACCCTGAGTCAACAAAACTAGAGAGCTCCAGCTGCTCTGCAACAAACCCAAATGCTCACATCCCACTAGTTAGAAGAGCAATAGAACAGAAGAGATGCTCTAAAACCTGTGACTTGCGAGATGGGATGTGCAGGCTTGGAGTACCTCTGCTGTGTGTACCTGCCTTTGCCCCTGCCCTGTTCCCAGAGGCTTCTTGGAGGCTTTCTTTTCTTTTTCTTGGAAGATTCTTTGCTCTCTCATGTTGCCTTTAACGTCTGGATCTCATCAAACTCATAGGAAAGGACAAGGAGGAGCTTCTCTGTCTGAGAAGGTCTCCTTAGGGGATGCTGTGCCTTGGCAACCCAGGAGCATGCAGGAGCCTCTCCTGGCACAGTGGGGGCACAGCTGACAAGGAGGGAGCTTTCCTCACCGTAGCTGTGGCTGCACTCCTGGCCCCAGCCTATCTGCCTGGCACGGTGTTCCTCCGAAATCTGTAACCTGAGGCTTGAGGAGGAACTCCTCTTGGATTTGTTTGTGCCTTTCTTCCTCTCCGGGCAGGATTTGTTGTCTGAGATGTAGCACAGGGCAGGAAGTTTGGAGGGAAGGGCTGTGACGCCACTGTGATCTGGGGATGCTCTGTTTAGTGGCTGTACAGTTGTTTCGTGTAGATCTGCTTGTTTTGTCTTGCTCCAAGTACAGCCTCTGCTTAACTGGAATTTGCAAAATGCTTTTTCTTTTTTTTCTACTTTCTTTAGTAATTATTTCTCTTTTCCTCCTGTTCCCCCTCTTTGTGCTCACTCCATGCTTTCCTTCAGTGATTGGGAGCTGGTTGCAGGCTTTCAGTACTTTGTAAGGACAGGAATTGCTCAGAGTTTGAGGCAGGGACAGAAGCCAAGTGACCTCAGCAGTGGTTTCTTGAGAGGAGAAATTAGAGAGGATTTTGCAGAGATGACATTAAAGTGGCGTATTGTGGTGTGTTTATTTTAGACTTGCCCTACCTTAACTGCAGCGAGTGCTCAATTATCCATGGCTGAGGTTTGGGTTTGCCTTGGTTCAGCTGCTGCTGGAACCTGTTAGAACAAAGCACAGCCCAGCCAATGCTCCTACCAGGGCTACTGCTTTGCATCTGAAATCAGTGTCTTTGGACTATTCCTCCCATCAAAGGGCTTTGCTGCCTGCACTTAGGTCATTCAGTATATTAAATGGGAACACAGTTCTCCCTTACTGTTTAATAAATCTTACTGTGTGTGAATCTGCTCCAATACCTTCAGTGTTTCATTCCATACAAAAGAGCAGTCGGGTGAACTCTGCTTGTTGCATTGCCTGTATCCTTTGTGGTACCCAAAGTTTTGTTAAGCAGCTTTGTTAAGATGCCTTTTCCAAATGTTTGGGGTTTTCTTACCTCTGAGTTCCCCTATAGAACTGCTCACAGGTAGGAGGAGTTTGATTTTGCTAAGGATAAAGAATATGAGGAACTTTTTTTTTGTACATGTGAGGTAAGTATACAAAAACTAATTATTTTTCTAATTTTTCTAATTATATATTAAATTATATCTAAATTATATATAAAATGATATAATAATTTTTCTAATTATTTTTCAGAATTAGGGAAGCTGTTAGAGAGCTGTTAGCTCTGTTTTTCTTTCCTCTATAAATAGCATTTTTAAACATTTTCCGTTTGATACTGGGAGTTGAGTAAAAGAGGAAATATTGTGAGCACAGGAGCTCTGTGTTTCACTGAGTGATGTGTTGAGAGCTGATGCCTCTCTACTTCCACATTTATTCCTTGTGCCCAGTCACACTTGCTAGATGGGCAGCCACATTCATGGACTCGGCTTCAGGGATCACTGAACACTTCAATATCTTAACAAAATCTAGACTCTGCTAAGCTGGGGCTCTGTTCTTTTCCTCCTTGTCGGTCAGCTGTGAAGGATTTGACTGAATTCCTGCCACAGGAAAAATAAGATGTGTCTGCACGTGATGTTTACCTTTGAAATGCGAGTTGTGCCTAATGTGTTACATGACTGTTGCAGAAGCCTTTGGGGCAGGTGTCAGTTTGGAGGCAGAAGGAGCAGAGGTGAAGCCGCATCACATTTAAATTGGGCACATTTTGCAGTGCTGTTTGACAGCAGAGCTCCCCACTATGCACAAATGTTGCATTAAATCATATTGGGAGAGTACAGAAGGGTTAAAACCCATTTGATAATGTCACTGGTTATTACCAAAAGCTGTGGCATAGTGGAGGGAGAGAAATGTCTTGGAGAAGTGTTCGAGAACTGGTGGGGACAAAGAGAAAACAGCCTTGATAAAAAGGTGCTGTGAATTTGGGAGATTTCAGCTCTGGTGGAGCTCAGGGTTTACAGGACAATCAGCTGGAAAGGAGAAGCAGTATGTGTTACTGAGAAGTTAAAAGAGAAAGAATGTCTCAAGAAAAATGGAAATTCAAGCTGGAAGAAGCAGCTGAAAAGGAAAATGCAAAATGACTGATTTGTGCAATCGTGAAGTAGGAAGGAATTTGTGTATTTGATTTTAGTGTAAGGGCTTTGTATGTTAAAAATCAGGTACATTGTGAAGGGTCATCTGCTCTAATGAGTAATCCTTATTCTGCATTGGCTACAGATTTAGGGATCCATGTGCTCTTTGCTGCTAATACACAACATCTGTCTACTAATCTAGCTAGTGATAAGTATTTTCAGTATTACATCCAAAGCTACCTATAGGCTTTTTTTTAAATTTCAGCAGTTAAGTTCTGATTTTTTTTGCTGTTGTTCTTTTCACTGACATCTTGGCAGCTGTAATTTCTAGGTCAGTGGGAATGGACTTCCTAGGCTGGATAGTCCCTTGGGAGTCTGGGGTTACTGGCCTAATGTTATTTTCATAAGGTTTGCAGACTAATTGTAGAACTTGCTCTGAATAAGCACCGAGACAAGCTGCAGCTTTCTCTGGGATCTTGCCAGCTCATTTTGGTAATTGTGAGTAAAAAAGACATTTCTTTTCCTCCTTGTCCTACAGACCACGTGAGCTGCCCAAGCTGAAGGAGTCCCGTTCCCATGAGTCTTTACTGAACCAACCCAGCACCATAGAGACTCTGGACTTTGCAGCAGAAGAAGCAGTCTTTGTCAAACCACTTCACAACAGTATCCTTGGACGAGACTTCTGCTTTGAGGTAGGGACAGGCTCCAAACAGGCAACTGCCAGTCCCCCTGAACCCTTGGGGAACACTGCTCCAGGACTGGGGGACTGGGAAAACAGAGCAGCAGCTGCTGCTGTGCTGAGGTTTGGCTGGGGGCTGTTGAGCCACCATGTGACTTTTAAAGTCCTTGAGGCTAATGGCATCAGTCACTGAACAGAGAGAAATCTTTTTCAATTACCGGGTCTTCTAATTGAAAAATCTCTTCAGTTTGATAAATATCTAAGCATTTGTAGCGTGCATGCAAATGTATGGTTGATACGTACAGCACAATGGACATGCAATAGTATGTACATTAGCTGTGTGTTCACCCTCTCCAAATTCACCTAAAATTTAATTTAGAAAATTTACTGTAACCAAGAAATGAGATTTCCAGTCAGAGCCCCTTTCCATTAGCTCAGTGCTCTCCAGTTGCCAAAGGAGAAGCTTCAGTGGCTGTGGACGTGTCCATTGCACCACAGAGCAGGATCCAAGGATCCCTTTGCTGTTTCAGCAGAGGCTGCAGGCTGTGGCTCTGAGCTCTGCTGCCAGAAGCAGGCAGAAACCATGTGTGTAAGCACAGTCCTTACCATCACAGCTCCAACAGTGGAGCTGTGTGTGTTTGGATGCAGCTGAGGCCACATCACCTGTCGTGGCAGGGACAGGTCACTCTGTCTTCAGCAGGATTAGTCAGATGTGTTTAAACTTCTGGAACAAAGATGTGTTTACAGTCTGGAAAATTCTGGCAGTAAACCTGCATATCAGGCTCTGGTCCCTCCGGACGCATCCAGGAATTGTTCCTGTTTGCTTCAGCCTCATTCTTCTGGTTGGAAGCACTTTGCAGCTTGCTTAGGCTTGGGGAGTTGGGTAGGAAACACTGGCAACAACTTAGTTCTGAGGCTGTCACCTCAAACTGCTTTGTAATTGTGAGCACAAATGAATGGAAAGAGTAAATGAGGCTTGTCAAGCCACGTAAGAGGAGAAGAAACCAAGGTGGTTCCCTGGTATGGGAAAACAGAGCTGTCAGGGCTGGAGCAGAGCACAACTCCCTCAGTTTGTTTAGGCTGTTGCTGTCTATATGGACCCTTGGAAATACTTCGAATTTACTGAAGTCATCATGTCCAGTGTGTTTTGCCTTATGTTAATGCATTGTCAGTTCTGTCTGTTAGTAACCAAATCATCTGCCCCTGGGCCTTAACAGGGAAATCGGCAAGCTTTAATAGCTACAGATCAATTAACAACTGTTTAAAAAAACAAGATTGACTGGCTGATTAAAGCTTTGTTTAAAAGTCTTTAGGAGGAGCCTCTGGCGCTCTTAATTTTATATAAATTGTTTCGTTTCTGCAGTTTTATATAACCTCAAACTTCTTTTTCTCTCTGTGTTTTGTGGGCCTTTTATGCTCTCTGCCTTCTAGGCCACTGTAGTTTTAGCTCCCTTTTTCATATTTACTGTATTAGTCAAGCACTTTTTATCTTCCTCCTTGCTTTTTGCAGCCTCTTCCATGTCTCCTAGGCTTGCCTGAGCTCAGCCTGTCATTTATTTGTTCCAGGTAACCTACTCCAAGGGCAGTAAATGCTTCAGTTGTTCTTCTGCAGCAGAGAGGGACTGGTGGATGGAAAACATACGCAGACTATCGCAGCCAATGAAGGTAATAGAAACTGCGAAAATAAGATTAGTGGGGGAATGGAGGTGGTATGATTGGATTTTAGTCCAATGTACCAGGGTTTCCCACAGATGCATCCTCAATTAATTTAGTCTGGGGAGCCGTCCGCTCATCCGTGTGTCTAAAGCTGCCATGTGCTATTCCAGGGAGGGCAGTAGGTCAAACCTTTAATGAGTAAATACACACCGGCCTGCTTCCTGATCCCTGCCCCAGTGCCAGCTTGGGATGCAGACTGGATTTCTGAAGCCATGCACCTGGGAGAGATGGGGCACGGCTTTGTAAGGGTCATGTTTTAATCTAGGGACAGAGATAGTGTGGGGGGAACCCGAAAAAAACCCAACATTAAACAAATTGAAGTCAGAGTGAGATAGAGAATCGAGTTAGAGATCAGCTGGAAATATCTGATAAGTCACTCCGTAGCTGCCATCCTACCTCCCAGGGACATGCTAACAGTGCTCTGGGATTCCTCATCAGTCTGGCAGCTTTGGACAGGCTCTTGTGCAGAGTGTTTGTTTTCTAAAGCATTTCAAATACAGCTTTTGAAGAAGAAAAATATTCTAGTCCCCCACACTCTTGACATACAAAAGACAGCCCTTTGCCTCTGTTTTAGAAAATGTCCAGTTTTCTAGAGATTCCAATTCTCTCTGGATCAGACAGTCTGATTCTGAATTCTGACTCTGTCCTTACCTCAGACAGAAAAGGCAGCCCTTTGCTGCTGCTTTAGAAGATGAAATACTCAGCTTTTAGGGGTTTTGAATCAAAACTGATATCTTTCTTCTGCACAGGACAATTGCCGTCGAGCTGAAAACGTGCTTCGCCTCTGGATCATAGAGGCCAAGGACCTGACCCCCAAGAAGAAATACTTCTGTGAGCTGTGCCTTGATGACACCCTCTTTGCCCGCACCACCAGCAAAGCAAAAGCAGATAACATTTTCTGGGGGGAGCACTTTGAGTTCTACAGTCTCCCACACATTCAGAGCATCACAGTTCACATCTACAAGGACGTAGAGAAGAAAAAGAAAAAGGACAAGAACAATTACGTAGGCCTGGTCAACATTCCCACAGCCAGTGTGACCGGTCGCCAGTTTGTGGAGAAGTGGTACCCAGTCAGCACCCCTACAGCCAACAAAGGCAAATCGGGGGGGCCTTCCATTCGGATCAAATCCCGTTACCAGACCATCACCATCTTGCCCATGGAGCAGTACAAAGAATTTGGGGAGTATGTTACCAGCAACTACGCCCTGCTGTGCTCCGTGCTGGAACCTGTGATCAGTGTCAAGAACAAGGAAGAGATGGCTTCTGCCTTGGTGCACATTCTTCAGAGCACTGGGAGAGCCAAGGTAAGCACAGATGGCTCCTGTTGAAGTGACTCTGGCTACTGATAAGGGATTCTGGTGGAAACTGAGGGGCCCATGAGACTAAGCAGCAGCAGCAGCAGCAGATGTTGTGTACAATGTGTAAGCAGGAGGACTCTGTAACTTCATGTTATTCTGAAAACTAGCACTTACATTTGAGTGTTCAGGAACCTTCCCTTGCGTTTCTAAAATCAGGACGTAGGTTAAGAGATGAGGGAACAAGAAGTTGGTAAACTGGAGAGTTGCTTCTAAAAATAAACCTGTGATAGAATGAGCAGCAGGTACCAGTGCTGAGTCAGCACTGAGTCAGCTGATCAATGCCAGCATCACTTTGGTCAGCATTTGAAGAGCCATTTGGGGGATCTATACCAAGATAATGGTGATCCCACCTGCCCCAAGGATGCTGTTAGGACTTCTGGGTACACACTGATTTCTTCAAATGGATTGTGGGAGAATGTCCTGCAGGTCGTGGGAAGCATTAGCACACATTGATCTCTGGCTGCTGCCTGCCAGGGGCTGTGTGAGTAGTGCCACGCTGGAGGCAGCTTCTGCCAGTGAAACCAGCTAGAGCAAGTAAAGCACAAGTCAGAAGGATAGACATGTGGAGGGATGGCTGTAAACAGCATCCAAGGGACAGCCTCATCTAATTATTCCAGAAAAAGTCCTTTTCTGCTGGCATATTCACATGCCCCTTGAAAACATCTTGGGATGGCTGGTGCTCTGTGACAGTGTGTGTGACAGGACCACATTCCTTAAGTTATCTGATGAGAGAAGCTGCTAACTAAGATTCTGTTGAAACCCTGCTGGAAAAGAGGTTCTGAATTGCTGCAGTGCCAGCTGCAACAAGTTGATAAATTAGTGTTTTAACTACATTCCTGGTGTGTGAAGTTTTGAACCTCTGTTTATGGGAGGCACCAGGTGCCTCAGGCTGCCGTAATGCTCCTAAGAGGGTATTTCCAGCTCGTTCTTCTGCTGATGGGGATGCAGCTGGATGTTCCCAGTTTGCGCCAGGTGAAAGGAATTCTCTCAGATTTTGTTGAAAAGAAACAGCAATAATGGACTGAAAACCAAGAGTACTAAATGTCATTGACTCACATAAAGTTACCACTTCAGGAAATAAGTATTACTGTAGAATTAAGCCCTATATCAAAAGATTATTCTCTGTATCAAGGCTTGCTGACAGTTCCTGCCTGGACAATTGAATAAGGTTCAAGTTAAGCTATGTAGATAACCAGCAAGTTGTATGTTAACTTCTTTTTTCCCAAATCCTAAAGCACTTTAGGTTTGTGAATTTAATTTATTGTGCCATTCTTCTTATTTAAATATCATCAAGCTGTAATAAATAAATGTCATCAAGCGGCGTCACTTCCAATTTGGATTTTTAAATTCATGTTTGTATGGAATATTCTTTCTAAAGATAAGATAAATTTAATAGCACAGTTTCTTTCAGCAGACAAAGCCTCTGATAAACAAACTGCTGAGAGATTCTGTTCTGGAGCTAAACAGAAACACAAGTTTGCCTGTAAAGGTTTTTTTTTTAGAGACTTTTGTTTCACCCTTTATAATTTGTGATCTATATCATTCTATAAGTATAATAAACCCAAGAGGACCCCTGGCTTTTTCCTTGACCCTTACTTCATGTAGCAGCTGCACCCCTTGTCTCAGGCTGAGAAATTATTTATTATCCTGAAATATCCTTCCTTCTTGGCTTCTGCAGTTAGCCTGGCAGGACTGAGCTGGTTAAAATCACCTTTGCCATTTGACCCTTTTTCCTCAGGACTTCTTGACAGATTTGGTGATGGCTGAGGTAGATCGTTGTGCAGAACATGATGTCTTGATCTTCAGGGAGAACACACTCGCTACCAAAGCTATTGAGGAGTACCTCAAGCTGGTAGGGCAGAAGTACCTCCAGGATGCACTGGGTAAGAAACTCGATGTCTGCCACCTGTTTGCAAGGCAAGGGCTTCCCCTGAGATGTGTCTGCAGCATGGCTGCAGCTGGGAATGTGGGATGGGAAGGAACTGCCTCAGCACTCTGAGTGTCTCATACACGGATAGCACCCTGTCTTGCTCTCAGGGCCCTTTCTCCACATGGAGAAGGATGCTCTTTGGTGCCTGCAGGAGTAGCACCCAAGGCTAGGCAAGCTCGATTTGATGTAGCTGAGTTCCTCTTCAAGTTTGTATTACTATGTTCTGTTTTTCTGAGTAACTTTCTTTTGTGTGTCTAGCATGATAAAGAGGTATAACATTGCAATTTCTTTGTGAGCATTGGTGGTTGTTTGATGTGATATACAAACAGGCTTGAAAAAGGGGTTTTGGCACATAGTCCTTAGAGACACAAGGCCAGGGAGTGAGGCTGCAAGGCTACCGAGCGTCCCAGGACAGGAGATCAAGATGCATCCTGTCTGGGAAGCCTCTTGCCAGTGTTTATCCTGAGTGTTCATTATTCACTGACTCATTAAAACTGCCTGGCCATCCCTTGATCTCCTACTCCATTCTCTCCTTGGGGTCTTCATGCCCACTGTTACGTGCTAGGCTGGACTTTGATTATTTTGTTATTGTCCCCCCTCTACCAAAAGGTTCAGCTCTAGTCATAAGCCAGTGCCTGGGGAATTCCTGGCCACACAAAGCAGTAAAGGGGGCCAAACCCAGGCTCGTTGCCTTCTGCACACACACCACAGTCGGGTTTTAGCAAATCCCCTCAATCTTCCTGATCCACAGTTGCACAATGAACCACCCACCCCCTGTTTCTGGGATGAAGAAAGCTTTGGAAATTGATGCAAGAGAAACAAGATCAGGGCAAAGCCAAATCCCACACCACATCCTTTCACAAAAAGGAAAAAAAAAAGCCAAGCAACTTATTTTCCCAGCAGTCTCGCTTGTCCTCAGCAGTCCCAGATGCTGGCAAGGCATCAAGGAGATAGCTGGCTAAATTAGTTCTCCAAGGGTCAGTGTAGTCAGCTCTGGGATTATATCCAGTTTGGCCATTTCTGAAGTGTAATGAGCCTGTTCTGGTAGTCTTATTCTCCTGGGTGGAACCACTGAGTGTAAGTCACAGTTGTGGGCTCTCACCTGGTACGGGGAAACGAGCAGCCTGGTACTCTGTGCTGCACTTCCCAGCAGGCTGAACATCAGCTATGGGACCAGTCCATTACAGCTGCCTACAAGCTCCTTAATGTGCAGTAATTGCATAAAATATTTTAACATTAATGACTTCTAATACATCATTTAGTGCTGAGTGATAAGATGGTAAATCATAGGCAGTAGAGATGAAAAATGCCCCTAAGGCCATCCAGCTTGTCTACAGCTCAGGGCAACTTTGCCCGTGACAATATCCCCGTGTAATTCTTTGTCAGGTTTTAAATGTCATTTTACTTAGCTGCCCTGTTTGAAAGGATTAACGACACTGTGGTTGGAGTTAGCAATCCAACATGTCTGTAAGGGAATCTTACATCTGATTGTAGCGGGGTCTTGTGGGCCACAAAGAGTAAGATTCAAATGTGTTTAAGAATAAAAAACATTACCTGGTAAAGAAGAGTTAAAACAGAACTGGCTCAACAAAAGTGATGCCAGCAGTTTTGCAAGAGATTTAGGTGCCCTCAGCAGAAATATTCTGGGCCCCAACACAAAAAAAAAAAACAACCAAACAAACAAAACCCCCAAAAAATTAGGAGAATGTGGTGCCTGCTTTGCTTGCAACAACACCAAGCTGAGATTTGGGAAGGGGCTGAGAGGTGTTAAAGGGGTTTTAGGAAAGCAAAGGCTAAAAACAAACCCCTTTTGCACAAACAAGCCTTGTGTTAGCTCAGAACCAGTGAGATCATCTGAGGAGATGAACTTGAAAGACATTGAATCATTAAACCAGTGAATAAAGGGTTTTTCCTAGTGAACAACAACAGTTTAAAAATCACTTGGAATGCCTGCATATAGAGGAGGGAAACCACTGAGTAGTTCATTCCAGTCTGTCAGACAAAGCCAACTTCATGTGGTTTATATGTGAGCAGTTTCTGTTGTGATACCGAAACGGGGGGGTGACAGAAATGCCGAGGAGCTTGAAAATGCTGGCCATAAAAATGCTGTAAGGTGTTGATATAAGAGGTTCAGAAAATTAGCAGCTCTAGGCAGTGCTTGGGTATTACTCTTACTCAAGAGCAAGGTGACACTTTTTAAAATTAAAAAAAAAAGGTAGATTTAGAAATAATATAAATAGATGTCATTGCTGGCACATTTTCTGGGGAAATTATGAAGGCAAATAGCACACAGCTTCATTCCTAAGACTGTGGGTAATTTCACAGTTGATAACACAGTCTGAATACCAAGTCAAATCCTCTAGGCCATAAGGGAAGTGCCTGCAGGGTTGCTAAGCAGAGCCATCCTGTTTTTGCACATGTGCTTGGGGACAGCAAGGGCACGGGAGGCTGAAGCATCAGAGCCGGGGCTGTGCTCTGTTGGGAAAGGGCTGGGAGGAGTGTCCCCAACACCTGGTGTCTGGAGGCTGAACTGCAGACACCCAGAGCAGGACAGGCAGCTGCCAGGGAAAAACATAAGCAGGATTTAAAGGTGTGGCAAGTAGGCTTTTCCTGTAACTACCCTGGTTCCTCATCATCTTCCTTTTTTCCAGGGGAGTTTATCAAGGCTGTGTATGAGTCAGATGAAAACTGTGAAGCAGATCCCAGCAGGTGCTCACAGAGTGAATTAGCAGATCATCAGTGCAACCTGAAAATGTGTTGTGAGCTGGTCTTCTGCAAGATTATCAATTCTTACTGGTAAGGCATCTTCCTTTCCTCTCTTTGTCCCCCGTTTGCTTGGAGGTGCCTGTTCCTCCTCTGAGGGTGAGGGAGCAGCAGTAGGACAGGGAAGGAGCACAGCCCCATCCATCTTCCCAGGCTGCCTTTGTCCCCTTTCCTTACTGCCTTCCTGCATGTGACTCCTGATTGCAGGTGGAACCTGTGCCCACACTGAGGGGTCCCAGCCCACAAACCACAGCTGTGGGGGCTTCTGTCAAATCCTGTAAGGAGGGAATAAAGTGAGAAAATAATAGCTTAGCTTGGACTTGGCATAAAAAGCTGCAAGTTTTGATGTGTACAGAAGACTTTAAGACCCTTCAGATGTGTAGAATTGAACAGGAAATCACGAGGAGGAAGTGCTGGCAGAGAGATTTCTATTAATCTCTGTTTCTGAGTAGCAGTGGAAGAAGAGGGGCCTTTCTGCTTTGGCATGAAGCAAAGGCACAGTATTGAGAGCTTAACAAGCAAGGTAAAACTGTCAGATATGGAGATGAGCTCAGTTTGTTTTCGGTATTCTAACACCCTGTTTGCTCCAGGGTAGCAATGGATAAGTAGTTCTTAGCGTGCAAATCAGCGTGTCTGGAAAAGGCTTCACTTAACACATATGAACAAGGGGTGCTTTAAAGACTGCTTAAGTGCCACCAGATTAAATGGGATCTATGAATAGAGGCCTAATAATATTACCTAGCCTAGAGAGAAAAAGAAAAAACAGGGGAGGTAAAAAAAGAGCTGATGTTTTCTCACAGATAAGTATTTTGAGTGACTGATCACCAGTTCAACTTTTTGCATCTTGTTTTATTTATATGTTTGGTTTTTTTTTTGCTTTTCAGCGTGTTCCCCCGTGAGCTGAAGGAGGTGTTTGCATCTTGGAAGCAGCAGTGCCTGAACAGGGGCAAGCAGGACATCAGTGAACGCCTGATCAGTGCCTCTCTCTTCCTCCGCTTCCTGTGCCCTGCCATCATGTCCCCCAGCCTGTTCAACCTCATGCAGGAGTATCCTGATGACCAGACCTCTCGCACGCTCACCCTCATTGCTAAAGTCATCCAGAACCTCGCCAACTTTGCCAAGTAGGTGATGCCAGGGAAACTGAAATCTGCGGCATGCCTGATTCCTAGCTGTGCTCACAGGCAGCTGATTCTCTGGCAAACTGAAGCCAGCTTTAGGAAAGGAGGAATCTTCTCACTTAGATGTGAACACTCGAGACACCTCAGATAAATTCTCCTTCTTACACACAGATTGGAGCTGTGTTGAATTCTGTGTGGGGGACACAGCATAAAACCGAGAAGAGTCACACAAGCATGTTAGTGTATATGCTGTTTCAAAGGAAAGAAGCCTGTTCCTACCAAGGATCATGATTTTCATGCTCTCTCCCTCCAGAATTCTCAGCTGAATGATACAAAGGGCATGGCACATCTACATGAGAGGAGAGAAAGAATATGTGTGGGAGGGAGTGGGGAGAGTTGTGATTTGTAATATAAACAGTGAGGTAGTAGTATTTAAGTACAACAAAGCAGTGAATCTCTTAAATTGTCCGTGTGTTTTTTAAATCCAAGACTTCAAAATCTTCCAATTTTGGTGCCGTTTTTTTTTGTTTGTTTGTTTGTTTTAGTACTCCATATCTTCAGAAAGGCAGGTCTAAAGTAAAGTGTTTAAGTAATTGTCTGTAAGCACTTGTACTCTGTATAATGTGTGGAGGTTATTGACTAGGTTTCCCCCCACTTCCCTTTCCTGCAGGTTTGGTATTAAGGAAGAGTACATGGCCTTCATGAATGAATTTTTGGAACATGAGTGGGGAGGAATGCAGCGTTTTCTGAGGGAGCTCTCTAACCCAGATACCATCTCAAACATGCCTGGATATGATGGCTACATCGACCTGGGCAAAGAGCTCTCGGTGCTGCATTCCCTGCTCTGGGAGGTTGTGTCCCAACTTGATAAGGTAAAGCTGTTTGGAGGCCTAGCAGGGTGAATCCGGGGGTGGTACCATAGCAACAGTAAACACCAGGGAATATCAAGGGAAGCCAGGAGTTTTGGAGGTTTGTTTGATAGTCCTATTTCACAACTGCTCCTTCAGTGGTTTCAGATCAGGGCCTGTAGCAGGGTATGTGTGGTGATTGGGCTTCAGCAGCAGTGCAGACACTTTGCAGAGCCTGTAGGAAGGTTAGGTGCTAAAGGCATTGCTTAAAAGTGGGCCTGAAATTTCCAGGGCCTCCTAAGTGAGGCATTTGGACAGAAAAAGGCCACTTTGCTGTGCCCTTGTGGTGCTAAGGGAAGTGCTTTGCTTCACACCAGGCTCTCCCCTGGTTCTGATGGAGGAATGAGTTGGCCCTGCAGAACTGTTCTCATCAACAACCTGATCCAAAGCCTGCTGAGATGCTCTCATTTCTGTAGTCTTTGATTTTGGCATACAAGGAATGCCATGTAAAAAGCTGGATCTGCTCCGAGTAGCAGAGCAAAAAGCATTCTGCTGTACCCTGTGCTGAGCTCACGTGCAGTGTCCAGGTTTGGTTCTTCTGATCCCAGCGGACACCACCAACAATGAACACTGCTTCCATTTAGCTATAAAAGGAGGAAGGGCAGAGCTTTGTTCTTCCTTAGCTATGTGGGTTTGCAGGAACCAAAATCATTAAAATCTTGGTAGCAAAGGTAGTTGATAAAGAAAAGCTGAACTGTGAGTCTTTTTTTTTTCCTCAAGTGCTTGGAACTGTTCCATACTTCAATTTTTAGAGGTGCATTATTTTGTCCATGTTCCATGCATATTCTTCTTTCTTCTGAAACTGGAGAAGTAAGGTGAATAGCAGTGCACTCGATTTTTATTGCATCAGGGTTTGCCAAAATAGTTATTGGTTGTGTCTATTTTTTCACTGTACATTATTTAAAAGAGAAAACAAAAATATGAGCTTGTTGCGTCATAGTAAATTGAAATGCCCTTGACTCAAAAAGACAGTCTGTATACTAATCTTAGTTTGATAACAAGCTTTGATCTTGTTTTTTAATTTACCTCGTGCATATACAAGGTGTACATTCCAATTGTATGGATCTCCATGGCTCTTTCTGTAGGTTAGATGTATGGATCTATCCTAGCAGGCCCTTGGGAGATGGTACAATGGTTTCCTAAAAAGAGAATTAAGGGGTAAAGTTACATGCATTATGGCTTTACTGTAGGGAATGACTGGGAAATAATGAGAGGAGCCACCTTGGAGATTTTAGTAGCCACAGTGCTGTATGAAAGTGTCTCTAAAAAGACCTTCCTCTGGAGCCAAACTGGCTGAATGCCTGCTTATGGGGAAAACAAGGGTATCTTTGAGAAGAACATTGGTTTTGTAGCAGAATTTTAATTTTTTAATGAATCTGCAGCTCCTTCACCTTCTTCCTGCAGTCCCAGGAGCCTGGAGATGCCCTGTAGCTGATATCCCAGCAGTGGCCCAAAGGGGTGAGAAGCCAGGGCCTGGAGGAGCAGCCTTTCTTGCTGAAGGCTAGCTGCTCTTACCCTCAGCCTGGCCAGCACTGAGCTAACCTGTAATTGGAGCCACACATTTCATCCCATGATGGGGTGATAGTGGGATGAGGATCACTGATGCTCTCATGCAGTTATTTTTCATGTTTGGGTTGGGAAGAATGGCTTAATTAATTGTTGATAACGGTGCGAAAGGAGATGGCATCCATGTAGGATACCAAAACCAAAAGGCTTATGAAATGAAAACCCTCCCTTTCCCCACCACCCTCAACCCCTGCGATCCTCTCATGATCCCCCTCATCTGTTGGCATGCATTTCCTTTACCATGTGACACCTTTTGCCTGGAAAGATCCCCCCACTGGCTGAATCTGTAGCCTTTGAATGCCCTTCAATGAGCAGATGCCGTAGTTTTCACTTTGACCTCACCCACCTGGAACTCAGTGTGCTTTGCATGATAGTTTTGCATTGGAATGGCAGTAGTTTTGTTTTATTGAGCATGATTTTTAGTTTTGGGGGTCAATCCTAATTTCTTTTCTATTTCCTTTTTTTCCTCAATGTCTGCTGCACCCCGTTTCGTCTCCTCCATCCATGTCGTCGCCGTCGTTGCACTGCTCCATAACACTGCATTACGATCCTGGCACACCCGCACACAACCACCCACCCTCCTTCCTTCCACTCCATCCCTCCGCCTCTGTACATCGTTACCAAAAAAAATCCAAACCTGGCGGATGTCGTGGTGCTTGTATCCAATTAGGGTGAAAATTCCTTCCTACAGGCAACCGTGGCAAAACTGGGACCTCTTCCTCGTATCCTTGCGGATATCACAAAGTCCATGGCCAGCCCCACACCCACTCAGCAGCAGCTGAAGCGTTTCACAGAGCACAGCTCCAGCCCAAATGTCGCTGGAAGTCTCTCCTCAGGACTTCAGAAGATAACTGAGGACCCCACTGATGGGTACGTCCCAGCCAGGGCTCGAGGGCAACTGTGGGGTTGTCAAAGCTGTGAAGAGTTGGAACGAGATGATCTTCAAGGTCTCCTTCCAGCCCAAACCATTCCATGATTCCAAGGGTTCAGGGCTTCATCCACCTGGCTGCCCAGCCCTGCTGTGGAATGGGGAGCTCGGGCCTCTCTCACAGGGAATACACCATCCCAGTAAGAGGTGCACAAGGTGGCACTGGCCACCTGGAGCTTTGGACTTACCCAGGACTCAACCACATCTCTGGGAGTCAATGACTTGAACTGATTAAACAGCCAGTTCTGTGATTTACTGCCAGCCTGAGTGCATGGTCAGCCGTCGTTTTTCCTTCTGGCCATCAGGCTGGTAATGGAAAAACTGAGCTGTAGGTAAAACTTACTACCCGTGGAACAGCAGAAATAGTCCCTCCAGTGTTTCATTCAGCATTTCTCACACTGTAACAGCTCTTAATCTGGAGCTGTGACATGGCAGAGCTGCCAAAGGGCTCGGCTGCTGCAGGCCCAGAGCAGTACCTGTGCTCTCAGATACAAGGGCCAGTTTTATCATGTGCAATTCTCTGCCCCCTGAGCTTACATCCACCTCTGAAGGACCCTTCACACAATTCCTGCTGAATGTTAAGACCTCCGTAATACACAGTCATAGAATTATTAAGGTTGGAAAAACCCTCTAAGAGTATCAAGTCCAACCATTAGACCAGCACTGCCAAGGCCACCACTAAACCATGTCCTCATGTGCCACATCTCAACACCTTCTAAGGATGGTGACTCCACCACTGCCTGGGCAGCCTGAGCCAGTGCTGACAATCCTTCGGGTGAAGAAATTTTTCCTAGTACCCAATTTCAACCATCCCTGGCACAACTTGAGGCGATTTCATTTTGTCCCATCTCTTTTTATGTAATGGCAAAGACTTAAATGGCATCTGAAGTCGTGCTAGAGGCAGAAGTCATTAAGGGGGGAGGGTATAGTGGGAATGGTTTAGATTTCACCTGTGAAAAAATAATAAAGATTAAGGACTTCTTGAATCAAACACAATTCTCAAAGATAAGTGGTAATTAAGGAAGAGTGTGTTCCGAGTCGCACACAAAGGGCTTATAAAAGGAAGTCTGGCTCCTTGAAGCTTTCAGTGGGGGGAGGTAAAGGGAGGTATAAAGACTTCTCTGGGGCATATCTCTTGGGGTCTTGGCTGCTTTAAAAAAAATTAACCAAATTCCTTTCCACTCCACAGTGACATAAACAAGATGAAGTCTCCAACCCAGGAAAATGTAGATGGACATTTTAGGGGCAAGACCTTACTGCTGGTTCAGCAGGCATCCACCCAGAGCATGACTTGCTCAGATAAGGATGAGAAAGTAAGCGTCTTGCCCAACGGACGTAGCATCTCTCTCATGGACCTGCAGGACCCTCACACAGCTCACAGTGACGCTGCTTCCATGATGCACGACGTGCCTTTGCGCCTGGCGGGCAGCCAGCTCTCCGTCACCCAGGTGGCCAACATCAAACAGCTGTGGGACACCCAGAGCACCCCCCAGAGCGCTCCCCAGGTCCGCAGGCCGCTGCACCCAGCATGGAACCAACAGGGCAGCCTGCGGCCTCTCTCGTTCCAAAACCCGGTTTACCAGCTCAACAACCCGAGCCCCCCCATGGCCAAGGCCTCCGTGGACTCCAGCCCAGAGAACCTGAGCACTGCCAGCTCCCGCAGCCGCAGCAACAGCGAGGACTTCAAACCCAGCGGGCGCAGCAACAGCAGCCTGGAGGACTGTGCCAAGCGCAGCTCGCAGAGCGAGGACTCGGCGCGGCGCCCCGCGGGCCCGGACAAGCGTGTGCCGCTGGTGCTGCCCCGCCAGAACAGCAGCAGCCAGGCACAGATCCGCAAGATGGAGCAAGCTGTGCTGGGCACCAGGGCCAAAACGCTGCACTCCCTGACGCACAGCCCTTCCCTGCGCAGCACGGGCAGCGTGTCCGGAGCCTCGGCGCCACTGGGCATTGAGCCCGTCCAGAACGGGAACCGCTCCCGCCACCAGTCCTCATCCTCCCGGGAAAGCCCTGTCCCCAAGGTGCGGGCGATTCAGCGGCAGCAAACGCAGCAGGTAAGGAAATCCAGCCTCTGCTTTGGTGTTCAGCCTCTTGCTCCTTGGCCTCCAGGGCTTTCTCGACCTTGGAGTCGAGCTGAATCGAGAGGAGCAGCACTTATGCCAGTAGCAAGTGTAAGGAATGGTCATACTTGTCACCCTCACAAGAATGGCAAGCCACCTTATCTGTGCCGCTGGGATGCTTTTGTACTAACTTAAAAAAAAAAAAAAAAAAAAGAACTGTTTTCCATTTACTAAGGTAGCAGTAAACCTGCTGAAAGAAACAGAACTGGAAAATTGCCCTGAATACAAAGGAAAAAAGCCAGGAGCAGCTTTGTTCCAAATGATAGTTCAGATCACCACGTGAGACTGCTTTTGCCCTGTGGTGTTAATTTAAAAGCAGAGGTACCTCAAAACAGGGAAATGAAAAAATATAAAACATCGCAGAATAACTGCTGCCAAAATAACAAATAAGCACAGTTGTCTAAGTGTGGAGAAATCCATATTTCACTATGATTGAAGCAATCTCTTGCTGATCCTCAAATAAGTGCTGCTTTTTCATTAATCATCCCAAACTATGAATAATGCAAGTTTTTTCTGGAAAGGAATGCTTATATCTACCAGCTCCTAATGCCCATTATCAGTTGCTCATAAGCAACTATAGATCAAGGTTTTCCCGCCAAAAAGCCAACATTCCTTTATATTTTTTTAAAAAAATACTAATTATGTTGTGATTTGCTGTGTATGAAAATATTTTCCTAAATTAGTTTAATTTTATAGAGGAAGTGAGTATTTCAATGCTACAGTGAAGGTAGAAAACATGATCTGCAGGTCAGAGCTTTTGCAGGGGGAAGGCTTTGGGCTGTGAGGTGAAGCTGGCAGAACAACCTCTGCTCTGCCCAAGGTTTTCTTGGTGTTCCCTGACAGTGGAGCTTTCTTGGCAAACTTCTGAATGTTACAGGAGAACCTGGGTGATGCCTGGGAACCTAAGAGCAATCAGGGCTTCAAAACTACTTTTGAAGTAGTTGATATCTCAACTTCATTGAAGTACAAGACCAGAAACACTGAATCACAAACCAAAGCTTAATATGCCAAGTTAGTAATACCCAAAGAAGTAATTGTTTATTTGAAGTGTGTGTGTGTTTGTGTCTTCCTTCAGAGTGTGTTTTACAATGAGTCATAGGGGCATGGCTAGGTGAAGGGTGTTTATGAAATACAACCAGGCCTTGAGTGGTTCTGGTAGCACATTTTAGGCCAGTAACAGGGATAAATGTGAAGGGGATGTGCATCCACTTATTTTCCCACTGTACTTTCTATACTAATTGTTTCCACTGGATTCATTAGAGTACTTTCTACTGCTTTATTCAGAGAAGTCAATTTGTTCTCTCCTTCCCCACACCCATGAACAATGTCTTGAACGGTGCCAAATGGAGCGGCCAACATTTTTTTCAAGGCAGATTCCATTGCGTCCTTTTAATTGCAAATCTTGTTGTGGAATTCTGTTCTTGTTTGAAAAAGAGAAAGAGAAAAGAGAATTTGAGCATATTCTTTCTAGGCATGTTTTGTGGGCGTTATAATTATTAGACTCTGTTCTCTACAAGTCCCATTTGTTTCTGAATATAGAGCTGGGCCCTTTGTTTGCTGGGAGAGGTCACTTTTTGCCTTCCATTTCTATTTAGAAGGTAGGTGGGAACAGAAATGTCAGTGTGTTCCTCTGGAAGTGAGGCAGAGGGGAATTAATCATGATCCTAGCAGATTAATTCTTTTTTTGCCCTTTATTAGAGAGTAACTTGTAACCCATTAGCATGTGTGACTTGCCATCCGCTTGGTCTTTGACAGCTTTCAGAATTTGGCTGCTGGAAATATTCTGTCCTACACTTGGAAGGTTGTTTGGCCAGGTTTGCTGCTGCTCAGCAGTCTGGTGCAGGGCTGGGGATGTGCTTTATACTCACCTTTCTTCTGAGTCCCCTGTAGCCCCAGTGGGTGGTGATAGTGTTCATCTGTCACTGTTCCTGATTTCTCCAGCGATTCACAGCCACCAACGGTCCATGGTCTCCCTTGCTCTGGCTGCCTGACAGCAAAAGACATCCAAAAAATCTGAATTAAGGAGCTTTGCCAGGCTGCCACACTGCACCTAAGGGGCTATTCGCTTTCCTGCTCTGAAGACTTCCTTCTAGGGAAAAGGCCTTTGCCTAAATCCAAGGATTTTGCCTAATTCTTACACCTTTTATTAGCCTTTACATTTCTGCTGAGGCTTTTTCCCCTGCTGGAGTGTCCATGGCTGCTCAGGACAGCTGAGCTGTGGGAGCAGATCCAGCGCCCACCAGCCCTGTCTTCCTGAGCAGGAGAAACACAGCAGGAGGGTGACATGATCCCTGACTCCTAAAGAAGCTGTTTCTCTCCCATGGAGAGCTCCTGGCTGAGACTGGGACTTCAGAAGCTCCAGCCAGGGAGCACAGTGCACTTGAATGCTCCACTGGGTCAGGCAGGGAGCTGAAGAACTGCCTGGGCACAAAAAGAAGCTGCAGTTGGGAAGAAGTTAATCTTTTGCATTTCTCAAAAACATAAGACAAAGTTGCTCTTTCAGGAGTAATTATGCTAATTCCTGTGCTTATAAACTTGTCTTTGTCCGTGAAAATTGCTTGGAATTTATAGCAAGCCATGTTTTCCCCAGCCAGGCGGAGAGTTTCTTGTCTCTTTTCTTGGCTCCCTTTTTGGATTCCCTTGAAGAGAAGAGAGAGAGCCTCCAAAGAGGTTGGACATTCTTCCAGTCAGCACAGCTGGCCCTGGCAGGGTGGCTACGCTGCAATGCACCATCCAAACCTGGCAGGCACTGCCATGATCATGTCACATCTTCCTGCCACATTCAAGTCCTGCCGTGCTGTCCCGGATCCAGGCTGTGCATTCCCATGCTCCACTGTAGTCTCTCCCAGCCTGGCTGAGGAAGCTGTTCCCAAGTTCAGCTCCTCAGCACTCCAGGAGTGTCTTACCTGAGCATGCTGCGAGCAGAGCTTTGTCACTGTGTTTCCTCTGTGCAAGATGTGGCAGGGTGAGAAAGCCTTGTGGCAAAGGGAAGAGGTGGATGTGAACGGGATTGGGAAACAAGAACTTTTTCAGAGAGAAGCTCACTTGGAGAGGAAGAAAAATTTCTAGAGGGCATTTGTTTTAGAGGGATTCAGGTGGGTCCAGAGGGGTTCAGGTTAGGTCCAAAGTCAAGGGAGGAGGGAGTGTCCCTGCAGGAGACATTTTGGGGATCTTTGAGCCTGACAGATCCATGGGTATCTTTCTCCTCCAGTTGAACTGGATTTCAGAGCTGGTTTGTGTGCAGTTTCTCTGGAGGATGCTAACAGGTGTCTCTGGCCCAGGTGCAGTCACCAGTGGACTCAGCCACGCTGTCCCCGGTGGAGAGGACGGCTGCGTGGGTGTTCAACAACGGGCAGTACGACGAGACCAAGAAGGACACGGCTCAGAACTTGGACGAAGTCAAGCACGCTGAGAAGGTAGATTTCACTCTGTGTGCAGCCAGCTTGGGGGTGCCACAGAGTGCTGAGCACCCCACAGCGAGTTCAGAGGGACTTTGAGGCCCTGCTGTCACAATGTCACACATTCTCACACAGGTTATATTGGTCATAGTGATCACTAACTCTGTAAATAAAGTAAATCAGGATCATTAACCTGACTGAGCATATCTTAGGACATGCACAGGGGCTATGCAGGGCTGCAGCTCATCTTTCATCAGTAGCAGCAGTCAGATTTTGTCTTGGGCTTCTCCTGAGGCAAATGCCTGTCACCCAGGTACTGCACTGAAATCTGCATGATCTGTTTTTTAAATGTTTTTTTGAAATGTCTTTGTATGTTTTTTCAGGAATAGATCCCATTTTTCCAAATATAGTCATTTGTTACTGTGGGGATGGAGTTGTTGTGTAAGAGATTTGGTATTTTGAGAAGGCAAGGAGTGAGGAGGAGAACATTTAAGAAACAGAAACTTAGGATTGTTAGGAAAGGTGAATAAACCCAAAACAAAGGAATATATTGAGAGTCGTGGCACCGTTGCAGAAATGATTGCCTACAGCGACAAGAACAAAAGCTCAGCCAAGTAACCTGACAGGCTCTGTTGCAGTGGCTGGTTTGCTCTGACCTGCCCTGATTGATTAAGTCCTGAAGACTGAGCTATTTGGGTCCCACACAGGTCTGGGTTTCTAAGTTTGGGCAGCCCAGGCCATTTCTGCAGTTGAGCACTGTTAGCAGCATCTGCCTGAGAACTGCTGGAGTCTGGAGTAAGGCAGGATGTGACCAGTCAGAGCTGAGGAGCCGTGTCAGAGCCCTCTGACTGTTTGAATTGTGCTGCAGAGTGATACCCCACAGTGTGGGAGCAGCTTGATGCCCAGTGGGAGCCCACGTGCTCCTTCTCTATGGTCTCCCCTACGTTTGCTTCTCACTTCCTTTACTTCAATCAGCTTATTTTTCATTTAAAAAAAAACAACAAAACAACAACCAGCGCTCCCCTAAAGAGCAGCAGAGCATTATAATGATCTGATATCTTCTTTTTTCTCCTTTCCACCTGATTCCCTGCTGCCTCCCTGCCGCCCCCAGTACGAGCAGGAGATCGCCAAGCTGAAGGAGCGCCTGCGGGTGTCCAGCCGCCGGCTGGAGGAGTACGAGCGGCGCCTCCTGGTGCAGGAGCAGCAGATGCAGAAGCTGCTCACGGACTACAAGTCTCGACTGGAGGATAGTGAGGACAGGCTGCGCAGGCAGCAGGAGGAGAAGGACAGCCAGATGAAAAGTATCATCAGCAGGTGAGGCTTTGGGAAGATCGGGACTGGGTGGGACAAGCGGCTCCCCTGTGCCGTTCCATCCTTAGAGCTGAAGAAATGGTGATGCAGGTGTGGAAACTTGCCTGAGATTGTCAGGACAGTAAAAGAAAATATTTAGGAATTTTTAACTTAGGTCTCTATTGTACTTAGTATAGGTCTTTCTTTTCGTTGCTCTTTGGAATCTGTACATGAGATTAGTTTCTCAGAGCAGTGGCATTTTTGGCAATGTCCATTCTGAAAATAACAAGGTTGGGCAACTGGGAGTATCAGATAGAGAGATAAGCTTTCCTGAGAGCAGCAGAATTCTTCTCTTGGAGAGCCAGGAGAAGCAGAGAAATCGAACCAACAGACCAGAGTACCTGAAACACTTGGGAATAATATTAAACTGTCCTAATTTGTCCCTCTCTTTTCTCATCAGACTCATGGCCGTTGAAGAGGAGCTGAAAAAGGATCACGCTGAGATGCAAGCAGTCATTGATGCAAAGCAGAAAATTATTGATGCACAGGTAGGTAAAGAGCTCAGCATCTCCCAGAACCTGTGTGTAAAACCTGTTACTGGCCCCTCTCTCCTGTCCCAGCACTGTTCTCTATCTTCCAAGCCTTATGGGCCTGCAGGGTCACACGTGTCATTTATTGCCTCTGGGAGACAACTGAGGGCTTTAATTAATACTGTCTGACCTGGGCTTTGAGGCAGCCTGGCAACAAATCCCAGGACTGATCACATCTCCAAAACCTTTGCTAATTTGTGAGATCCCAAGGGAGTAAAGGAATAGCAGGGCATTGTGTAGACATTGATCCAAGTGTGGGCCTGGGACCTCTGGGAAAGCTGTGCCTCACCCCAGCATAGTTTAGCTGCCATGTGCATGCATCTCAGCTGTGCCAGCAATAGCATGGCTTTGGACAGTGGAGTCCAGGAAAGAGAATGCTGCAATGGAGCCATTGTCCTGGGAATGTCACGTGTGGCATTTCACCCCACTGGCCGTCTCCCTGGCAGTCCTGGGGAAATGCCCATTTCCCACAAACCTGCAGCTCCCACCTTAGTCACCCTGGGCAGCTGTGGGGAGGGGAACCCAGTGGGATGTGCATGTGGGTGTATCCTGTGGGGTCATTCCAGCTTTCCCTCTGTGTCTGTGCTGATCCCACAACAGAACCTGGGACTGGTTTGTATCTGCCTGCCATGTTACATTTCTGGTATTTGCACTTGGAGGGTCTCTTTCCTGCTTCTGGGCTTTTCAGTAGTTCCAACTGGAAACTTTCTTTAATAATTTTTTCAGGAATAACCTAAGTTATTCCCTTCACAAAGACTGGTGGTGGGAGTCTCAGCTGAACATGGTTAAACATGGCACTGGGGTATTAGAACTATTTGAATTCATGTGGAACTGTAGGGAAAATAAAAAGCAGCAAAGAGCTGTGTTTTTTGGAGATAGGCACAGTCAGGGCATCTCACTGTTACGGACATGGAATGGCAGCTCATCCAGGCAGCAGCCTGGATTCTGAAATGGGTGGATGCATTTTTCGTCTGACTCAAGAAGGTGGAAAGGGGCACTGAGCAAACACACAAAGTGATTTTTGGAGAGTAGAGATTGTGACTGAGTAAGAAACTTGCCTGTTACCTGTGTGTGCCAGGAAGCTCTCAGCCTTGGTGTTGGTTATGGGCTAGCAAGGTGGAGCATGGACGACTGTGATCCCCGTGTCACCAGCTGGCAGAGGGACCACTGCTGACTTCTGAGACCTTCAAACCTTCAGGCCTGGAAGGATGTAGTCCTTGATCACACTTCATCAAGTGATGCAGAATGTATCAGCTGTGGTGGAAACTGGTGATAAAACAGGAGCAAAGCAGCAGCATTAATGATTTCTCTTTTTCTTGGTCAAGCAAGGTCACTGGCAGACCTCAGCTGCTTCTTCACTGTCAGGCAGTGAATGGGGGAAGTGCAGTTGTCACTGTCCTTCCTCGAGTACCTGAGCAGAGGAGGAAACTGGTAAAAGATTCAGAACACACTCACCAGGGGATCCCAGACATCTGCTGGGTTCTGAGCAATCCTTTGAAGTCGCGCTTAGAAGATTTTATTTAGTCTGATTCCTTCAGTGGCTAGAAAAGGAAAGGTCTTTTTTTGTGTGAGATTCATCGAGTGGGGCTGGAACCCCACTGAGTGGGGCTGTTGCACCCAGCTGAAGAGTTAAAGACTGCCAGGAGCAGCAGTGACCTGGGATCCTGTGCTTAGGGACAGCGGCCCAGGATGGTTTGAGGGGTGCAGTGCAGCTCCCAGCACTGCCCCTATGCACACAGACACGAGCTGTTCTCCTGGCTCTGGAGCCTGAGCAGGGATAGGTCTGGCCAGACTCTCTCCTCGGAGCAGCACAGCTGCAAAGAGAGCTGGCCCAGTTGCTATTGCAAGTGACATCTCCACTGTGTTAAATTACAGGTCATAAATGGGGATGAGATAATTCCAACAGGCAAGTAAACCAAATCAGTTCTCTAGCTGAGCAGTACCCAGTCCTGGCCCAGCACACTGACCTCCTACCCATTCCAGCTCCTCCTGCTCCCTGTGCCCTGAGCATGTTAGAGACGTGCCTGGTAGATCCAATTTTCCTTTCAGTGAGAACATGCCTCTACTCACCAAGCTCGTGCTTTTAAGATTGATTTTCCAAGTGTGGATTTCCAGCTGTTTTGCAGACTGGCTCAGTAAGTGCTCAGCAGTGTCTGAAAACACACAGCCTTTCATTCTCAACTCTTTGGAAAGATTTTTTAGAAGTTTTTCAGGAAAAGTTTCAGAAGGAAAATTTTCATTTTAAATTGTATATTCCAGGTGAAATACAGTCGGAGGAGTAGGAGCTTTGCCTGCCTAAGGAGCACATTTCTGATGAGGCAGTTGTGTTCTGCAGGGTTCATTTCAGCATGGGAGGAAAGGCCTGTAACTGCCTGGCTCTGTGTTCTCCCTGCTCCCCTCAGCTGGATTGGGATGAGGGCTAAGGCAGGCCTTGTGCCTCGTGTCTTCTGTTGGTTTTACACAGAGCTTGGCGTCTTCAGGACTGTAACAGAAGCAGGACTTAAATTCTGCTTTGTTTTTGCATCTGAGCACTCACCCCTGTGGGGGAGCCCGCTGAGAAAAGCAGACATTGCTGATTAGTGCTGTAGCACACACTTATGTGCTGGGACCAGAATCCCGTGTGGTAGCACATGAATCTCCTGAGCAGTGTATCTGAACTGTTCTTTAATCTTTATGCCTTCTTTGCATCATTTTTCTCTCCATTTTGTTTCTCAGTGGGCTGGACTGGGAAGAGTTCCCACGTGCAACTTGTTTTGGTTGAGCAAATTAGACATTTTCCCTTCTTAAAGAACAAAAGCCAATCAGCTGGTGGCATGGAGAGCACAGTTACCTTCCTGCTGTCTCTAGCACTGCTTTCTGCAGCTGCATTATTACTATTTTTTTGGAAAAGATGGAAATTGTCATTTCCAATTATGCCGGCAACTCCTTGGCTTGCCCCTCCAGTGCTGTATCCCACTGCAGATATCCCACTGTTGGCAGGCCAGGTCTGGTGATGGGTTATGTCAATTTAGCAGCACACATCCCTGAGCTGGCTGCTCTGAGTGGAGGCTGGCACATTCTGTGCAAGGACACTCCAGGCACGTGGATTTGTGAAGCCTGGGAGTCCCCCGAGCTGGAATGGGTTTAGGAGCAGCGTGGTCTGTGTTTGTTCTTTGTGTTCTGTCGATGGCATCTCCCCTCCACCCACAGTGCCCTCTCCCCCTCACCTCCAGTAACCCTCAGCGTTAGCTTTGGCTGCTGCTTCTCTGTGTTGCTGTTGCACCGTCACCGCAGGCTGCCATTATCTGCTTTTTTTTTATTATTAATTATTTGTTTATTTCAAGCATCCCATGAGTTTACGCTGAACACACTTCATCCAAAACACAGAGACAATGGTCGGCAGATACCACTCGCACTTTTCTCTGCCAGATGAAACCCCCCCACCACTTTCATTTTCTGCTGCCTGTTTCTGTTTTTTCTAATGTACTTCTAAAATATAATAGCGAAATTGGCTACCATTGTTATTAACACCAACATCCTCCCACTCCCCTGTGGCAAAAGCCTGCCTGGCTGGGTGGAGCCTCCACACCTGGATCAATTCCCCACTGTAACTCGGATTCGTCACGCAAAAAGTCCCGGAGGGCCCCAGAGGAGCCCATGGCACCCCGAAAACAGAAAGAGGCAGACAGCCCATGTCGCCAGGGAATGCTGGCCCAGCTGCCTCTGCCCAGAGCCCGGGCTGGGCCGGGCTGCTCCCAGCGAGGCCGCTGGGTGTGCAGCAGCTCTGACGCTGTGGGCTGTGTTTGCAGGAGAAGCGGATCGTGTTCCTGGACTCGGCCAACACGCGCCTGATGAGTGCCCTGACGCAGGTAAAGGAGCGCTACACCATGCACGTCCGGAATGGCAACCCTCCCAAGCTTTCCATCACGGAGAATGGTGAATTTAAGAACAGCAGTTTCTAATTCTGCAGGTGCTGCCAACCACCTCCGTGGAAGAGCAAGACGGAGCAGAGCCAAGACCCCTCACCGTCACTGATTGTTGCACATAATTCTTCTGTAAAAGGAAAATTGTATTGTTTGAAGATTGTATTGTTTGAAGATTGTTCTAAAATTGGTTTAGAATTGTATTTTTAAGTTGTATTTTAAATTGTTTTAAGATAGTATTGTACATTCAATAAAATTGAAAAAGCAACTCTGAAGGGTGGGCTTTAATTCCCCACTCAGGGCCAGGAGAACCAGGCTCCCCAGAATAAGTCCTTGTGGATCACTGTGTAAATAGAGGGAGCTCTTGGGTTGTGTACAGAAAATGCCAATGTAATATACCAAAAGGAAGTGAATACTGTAGATTTTTTAATTATTACTATTTTTTTTATTATTATGTTGTTGTTGATGTTGTTGTTGTTGTTGTTGTTTTTCTCTTGTTGAAAGCACTGCAGTCCTGGCAGGAGGAAGAGGGGAGTGTGTGTGTGTGTGTGTGTGTTGTGGGTGAGAGAGGTGAGCAGCGGGTGACCCGAGACAACTGGCTGATAAAACGACATGAATGGAGTGAAATTAATTCCATAGGAAAATTTATCAGCTGAGTTTATTCCCCTCTTCCCCAGCTGGTCTTTAGCTGAATGCAAACTTGATAGCAAACGTTTTAGCAAGAGAACTGGCTCTTGCTGTGTCCCGTATCTACTTCTGATAGGACTCTGTCATAAAACAGTCCTTCTGAAGAAGATACAAAGTGGGAGCAGCAAGCTGGATTCCTGGAATTTGCACAGTCAGGCTTCCTGTCAGACAGAGGGAATCTGCAGGATTTCGTGGTAGGATTCTTTCTTTTTTTACCCCAGTTCTAAAGCAGTTTTATATTTTCTGTTTGGAGGATTTACAGACCTGTAAATACTTTTTTAACAATTTCTAGCCAGTCCCCACTGTACGCCCCCTGCAGCAGCACCCTGAATTCCCTCTCTGCTCTCCATCAGGAACAGACAGGTTAATCCTCTCGGGAAAGGGCTAACCAAAGGGTGCCCATGCCCAGCACAGGAAATTCCATATGCAAAAGTCCCTTTTTCTAGAGGATTTCTGTATTTTAATGCCTGCTTATTTTCACTATTTCAGCCGCTTGCTTAGCCAGTGTAGTTCCAATGAAAGGTGCTTTCTGCACCTTTGTTGAAAGATCTTCCATTTCTGCTGGAATTTTCCTTTTTCTGGATACTTTAAAGGGATTTTTTTTATAGTTCTGTAGAGAGCAGTTTTTTTCAGGAGTTTTGACTTAGTTTTTGTCTTTAATTCCTTTCAGTTGCATTTCATAGAAGCATGATTCCAGATTATGTGTGAATGGGATATTGCTCCAAAGTGACCTTCTCCTGGGAGATAGTAACATTCACAGCCTGTAACAGATGAACAGTAAATGGCTTGGTATTGTCAATTCTCATGATTTCATCAAGTGCTACAATATTTAATCTGAGAGAGAGTTAATTTTTTTTAAATCCAAGATTCTGGAGTCAAGGGTGAATTTTTACTTCCAGCTTTTGCTGTGCATTTCTAACCCTCAAACTCTTACAGTAAATGAAATTATTGCGGCATTGATTGAAATTGCTAATTACAGAAACATACCAATAACAGCAAGTGTGATTAACCATTCATATGTGCTGTGGAAATTGGAAATGTTTACTTCAATTTGAGACAAAACCTTGAGAGGTGCCTCAGTGTGGGATTGTCTCATGAAAAACGCAGTGTCTAAGCTAGTTCCCTGCACATGAATTATTGGCAATACCGAGACCCAAACCCAGTGTCTGTTGCCAAGTTTGCCTGGTTTTTGGAAATGAATGAATCCCAGCTCTGTGGCTGATGCAGGAGGTGGCAGAGCAGTGTCTGCTCTGGTGTCACAATGCTCGAGCAGTGCAGAGGCCCCTGTGCTGTAGGATGTGTATGCATCAATCCTAGCCAGGCCTTCTGGAGCACAGCAGTCTGCAGTGAGCTGGGGTTTGGGATTAATGCTCGGCTCTTTGGGATCAAAGCTGCCCCAGCTACTCAGCCAGGACTTGGTGCTGACACACCTGGGGTTGTGCTCTGCATTGGCTCAGCAGTGGTTACTTTTCCATACTTTCCAAACCGTCTTCCAGCTCTAGATCCTTGCTGACCTCAGATATTTTATTCCTCAAACTGTGCCTTTGAGTTCCTCCTTTCTCCCTTCAGGCATCGCAGCCGTAGCAACTTCTCCTGTTTGTGTTGAGCTGTCATGTGAGGGCCTCTTACACAAACCCTTTTTGTGGGCTGTTTCTGTGGGATCTGCATGTCCCTGTAGCCATGTACTGTAATTGCACAGCTGTAGCATGGGGGAACACGTTCCTGTCCCTTTTGGGATGGGCATGTGAACTGCTGCCTTGTGGCACCATGCAAGGTGATGTGGGTGTGCTGTGATCGAGGTGTGAGTGAGCGCCCGTGGGGCTGCACTGACAGAACAAGGCAGAAGCAGGTGTGTTGTTCTAGGAGAGTTATTCCAGCAGTATTTTGGGAAACACCTTTCCCCAGAGCTCCCCAGTGCTCTGGAAATGTCAGAGGTCTCTGGCTGAGCTGTGGTTTGATGCTGAGGGCTCTGAGGTGTCCACTTGGGTTTCTGCAATAGGGGCAGCATTTCAGCCTGGATTTTTAGAGGGGAAATAATCCCTGCCCCAATACTGGTGAGGTCTTCGGTAGTGCATCATCCTAATACTGTACCTTCTCCTGTGTGTTTCTCAAGCTTGTAGAATGCTTGTAGGAAAAAGCAGTGACTCTCTCAGAGCCTGACCCCTGTCTGGTCTCACAGCTGCTTGCTTAGGCTGGTTGTTTCTCTGCTCTTCCAGTTTCTCCCCTAAGGTGCCAGCTGTGCTCCTCCAGCTCCCACCGCCAAGGAGTCGCTGCCTGCAGACCCGAGGGATGAAGGTTCCAGAGTCAGTGCTGCAAGACTGGAATTTTTTGTGCTGCAGCACAAACACTGCTCCTGAGTCCTGCAGGCAGCTGTCTCTCCTAGTTTGTTACCAAGCAGCCTTCCAGAAAAACTTTCAGTTGCCTGGAGCTGACAATACATGAAAATGCCAGTTTCTATTTTGTCCAGACTGATAAAATCCAAGTGGCACTAAACCACGTGTCTGTTCAGGAGCAGGAGCCCTGCCTAGGCCTGATCACGTTTGGGTTTAGACTCGTGGCCAGTGGGTTCTGCAGCAGTGAGGGAGTAAATGGTGCAACCTGTGACAGGGAGCATGCCAGATGCTGGCTTTGGGTTCACACTCTGAGCAAAGGCTGATGGGCTGTGTCTAATGCTGTGCAAGGAGCTGCTGCTCTCACTGGGGAGCAGATGAAGTAGTGCAGGAAAAATTGGATAGCCTGGAGGAGGAATACCTGTGTTCCTCAGACTGAACAGGAAAGTCACCCCATCCTGGTGTTTCAGTCCGTGCTGGCCACGTCGGTACCATTCTAGGAGGGTTCTCTCCAAACCTCAAAACCCTTGCCCTGGGCTTCCTGAGTGCTCAGGAAAAGGTTGAGGCCAACACAGCAGGGCAGGAAGATGGAGCAGCCTCTTGTGTGTGGCCTCTTGGCAGGTTGTGTGTGGTGTCTGCAGTGTGTGAGGTGAGCAAGGTGACAAGGGACAGGCTTTGAGAGGACAAAAGGAGCACGGCCTAGGGGCAGCATCCTGTAAATCCCTGTTCTTTGCAACTCTAGGAATTCAGGCCTTTTTTTTAGGGGAAATAGATTTCACATCTAGGAATTACCAGCTGTTACTTCCCTGGTGTATCAGAAACGGGCAGCTTTTTACAAAAGCTATACATTTGCCACTTTCCTTTCCAGTGGCATAACTCAGGCAGGGAATCTACAGGAGCATGGAAAGGGATGTGTGTATTGTCTAGTTAGAGAATATCCACTATCTAGTTAGAGGTGTATCCACTAATAAATTCTTTATCCATCTAATAAATCATCAAAGAAATGGGGTTTATTTTGTGTTCATGTAATTGCTTTGGTTTGGCTGTGAGTTTTTCCCCCATGATATATTCATTTCATATTTTGATGCTTGCATAAACACACCAGCTTCTAACTTGGAAGTCCATGAATTTTACAACCATGTCCATGAAATGTGTCAGCAATACTTAACTTGTGTGGATGAGTTCTGCTTGTGTTCTGCGAAAATGTCTGTGTTGTTCCTGGAGAACAATTCCTGTCCAAGTCGAACCATGATGTGCATTTCCATCAGTGGTAGGCATGGTCAGCCACAGGTATCCAGCTGAGTCTGCCAAAGGAAAAAGGGTTAAATTTAGGGTGATGTTTTTAGGTGTTTCCTTCCTTAACAGTAAGTTAACTCCCAGGAGAGTGAGCATGTCCTTACAGATCATGCCTGCCAGGAATCCTACCTGCAAAAATAGATTTTCTGTCTCAAGGGCCTTAATAAGAGTGTTACTACACAGAACTGTTCTACAATGATAGCTCTAAATAATTTATTTTTTATTTCAACAAAGTACACCTTTAAAAAGGAATAAACTTGTTTTTCAAGCCGTATTTTTATGCTTGTAGCACTGGACTGTTTGGTCTCTGAGATCCATTTCTGCATTTCATTGCCTGGGTTTGTTCTAAAGAAGATTTATTTTTGTTCTGTGAATAATTTTTGAAGGTTCTTGTAATATGTACAGATATAGATACATTTGAGGACTTTTATTGATATTCCTACAAAGAATACAAATAAACTTTAACTTTAAACAGTTTGGATTCTAAACTTCTGCTGATTGAAAGTCCCTCTCTTTTCTGTGCTCAGGTTGTGTTTGTGTAAATGCAGAGGGTAGAGGTGAAGGAATTCCCACTGTGACAAAATGTCTGGGACAGAGCAGCGTCCGCCTGGAGCAGCCTGAGCAAATCAAGGGCTCCAAGGCCAAGGGGAGCAGGATCAATTCCTGCGTCCTGAAACTGGGAATATCTGGCATTGTGGAGTGAGAGAGCGACAAGCTGTGGAGACACGGAGAACTGCTCTCTGCTTCCTTTGGCCATGGGGTTTTTCACTGAGTGGTGAAAAGAAGGTTCCCGTGTAATAATTAAAGTGGGTATTCCCCTCACGCCAGGCCAGTGAATGGGATCAGCCAGGTTTTCCTGTCCACTCCATTCCTAAATTACACATTCTCACACAGCAGCCCAAAGCTGCAGAGTTGGAGGCATGGTCATGCAGAGGGATATTATTTACAGGTTCACATCAAATGCTGGATTCAAAGATATTTACATTTATTCTTCATATGTGTATGAAATCTTGTGTATAGTGAATGGGAAAACCTTCCACAGTGAACTTACTGAGTGTAAAATCCGTGGGCAAGGGGATGTTTTGGAAAAGTTTCTTTTCATTTCACAGCCCCTGCGTGTCCTGCCTTGCTCCTGCCTGGGCTGCCAGGGCTGTGCCCGGGGCTGT